TGTGTCCGGGAGAGGGTTTTGCGGTTGAAGGGGCCGAAGCTCATTTCGAAGCGGAGGAGGCCGATGGGTGCTTTCAGGGAGAGGAGGGTTTCGGCCATTTCAAGAGTGAGTTTCTCCGCTACGGTGGCGATTGGGTGCTCTGGGTCCGTCCGAGCCCAGTGCGATAGGACTAAGGCGTAGTGATCGGATATTGTTCGTACAGAGTTGGACATGGTCTGGCAGATGTGGCGGGTGGCTGATGGGGGTCGGGGGAAGAGTTGCACGACGGTGGCGGCGACGAAGCCTAGGAGAACGGTGACGAGCCGTTTCCAGAAGGCCTCGTAGCCGCGACCTGGCAGGCCGTATTGTTGGATGTGGCCGTCGTCGTAGCTGAAGCCGACGACTAGGACGAATGTCGCGCCGCTCATGATGGCTGCCATGGCTAGGGTCGGTGGGAGGAATATCCGCCACCACATTAGTATCGCTGTCATTACTGCTGTGATTGCTCCTAGCCCGTATGCGTTGCCGGGTCCGTGTCCGGAGCCGATGTACCACGCGACCATGCCTAGAACTCCGCCGACTATGGTGCCGACGAGGCGGGATACCAGTGACAGGGTGAAGTCGGACATGTAGACTAGAAGGGTAGTTTGTGCGGTGATGACACCCCAGATACCTTTCTGGCGGTAGAAGAACCCAGCAGTGTGGGGGAGGGAGGAGGGGATTGATGTTGCGATGGTTACTACTACCATGCGGAGAGCGTACATCCCGCCTGGATTGAATAACCAGTGGTATATCGATATAATGACCCGTGTGGTGCGAGTGCGCTGGGGTGTGCCATATCCCCGGCTGATTCTTAGCCGACGATCCGCTTCGCGGGTTCGTTCCTCGAGGGCTTCCGGGTCCGTTGCTGTGTTTCCTGGAGCGGCTGACATTGGAGTGGGAACATTGCCAGTCCCTATCCAAGTCAAAGCATACTGTAACCGAGAAGGGATCCAAAGTCTGGGCTTGGGGCGATTTTCCAATAGCCACAAGATGTGTTCGATGAGGTTCTGTGTAGCTTCGGCCATTGTTAAAATGCGCTCTTCAATGACCATGCCGATGATGATGCCTCGTAGGATATGCACACTGCCCACGTCACCAGCGTTGAAGTCACCCTGGTCATCAAAGATCTCTGCGTGACTGGTAATCAGTGCTTCGGTGGTTGCGGTGATACTTGATGCGCGGATTCCACGAAGCGTCTCCAAGGTGTCTTTCACGCGGGTAGTCTGCTGGTCCATCTGCGACTGTGAGGGTGCTCGGACCCATCGCCGATTGTTGACAATGTTGATAGTCTCAATGCTAATATCTATTGCATGCGACATTGCTTGTAGAAGCGGCTGAGTGGAGTGCTTGAGTGCCTCAAGTGTACGTGCACGGATGGCTGTTTCCTCTGCATCCTGAAAGGCGTGAATCAGGTCGTTACTCTGTTGAATCTGATGGTGGCCAATAGCCTGGTTCTTCTTTTCTCGCCAATCGTTGTTAGATTGGGCCACATCGTGTTGTGCAAGCTTGGCTTTATTCTCCTCATCATGTATTCGTGCGATCTGGAAGTTCAGCAGAGACAGCGACGCAACCAGTGTTTTGCGCAAAGCCCGCTGTAAAGACTTCAAGTCATCGGCACCCCAATGACCGCGTGACAAGTCGAGAGGAAGAAATGACAACAGCGGATCGAGAGCCTTAAGCGCACTGATGCCTTTACTCTTTGTATCAACCAGTTGCTGCAGACTCAATTCTTTACCACTTAGACGCGCTTCAGTACACTTCAGCGGCACCTGTCCCAAGCGAAGCAGCTGCTCCATCTTGGTGAGAACAGCATAAGATGTCGACTGCGGAAAGAAAAGAAGACAACAAGCCGTTCCCAGTCCGATGCCTATAGCGCCAGGTTCTATCAAAACTCTAGGTAATAGGGCTGTAAACGATGGCAAAGTCGGTCCAAAAAGCAGAAACAGGTCAGTAACAATGATGCTGAATACCTGCGCCAGAGCAAATTTATTATTTGCAACCCGTAGACGAGACATGGCATAGATGAAGACACCTGCCATGACATAAAAGACAACAGTCACACGAGCATCGAGCATGAATCCATCGTGGATCAGCTGCTGCGTTACGGTTGTAGGGTTTTGTCCAGATTGACTAGCTTGCGTCACCACTTCCTGCTGCAATTGCTGAAGACGAGCCTGGGTTTGAGAGGAAGGGCGTGCAGCCAAGGCGGCCTTCATCGTGAGCAGACCCCAAGCCCAGCCCAGGCACATCCCAGCGAGGAGTGTCAACGACGCAAGCAGGTACACGAACAGGATGCCTGCTGGTGGGACTATATATAGTACGAGGGCGCCAAAGAACGTGGCGATGCCGATGCTCTGCAGGGCAGGCCCGATGAAGATCAATAGTGTCGCAACCCATGCTGCAGTCCAACAGCGAAAAAGGACCTTTAGATCGCGTAGATTGAAATGGTCTAACCAGGCTGGTAACGCCCATTGAGCCCGTTCTGCCATTTTGGCAGTTGGGGTTTGATTTGAGGATTCTCCCCGAGGGGTCATCTTTGGAGAGTCATAACGTGTGAAATTATATCAAGCTTGAAGTTGGGAGGCAAGTTTAGAAAGTCAGGGTCAGCTCCATGCCGGAATCCATGGGATGACTGAAGTCTGGTTGCACTGGGCCCGATACGACGTCATCTACGACTAGCATTCTAGTCACCAAACGGTCAACAAAGCCAACTTGGGAAAACATATTACTCCACGAGGTAGGATACGCATTCGCAATAGTTCTGATGAGACCATATATACCTGCGATGGCCTCTCTCTACCATTGGTGGTAAAAGTAGTTGTGATCACAGCAAGGCGAAGGAACATCACATGATAGCCAATTTGGGACACAACATCACGTGCGTCTATTAAGCCTTCGAGTGATGTTTGCATTGTCGGCAAATAGTGCAAAGAATGCAAATCGCAAAGCCAAAAGGGAAGTCAATGCCGATCAATTCCCGATTCGGGCGAGTATCTGTGTTCTTTCCGATGTTCAAGCCACGATTTGTACTAACAAACAAGTCTAGTATATTCAAATCATGATCCAGCATTTAACTACTATAATTCTTGAGAAATTTTTGATATTTTCACAGATACTTCATCTTTATAAATAACTGTTGGCTGGAATTCATCTTTCTTTACTAATCAAATTTTAATCTGATTATCAAAGAATGACCTACTCCGGAAAATCCCAGATCAATTATATGTCTCATACAAAATCATATTGAATTCCTAATACAAACGGAACAGGTTGGGCTTACTCCTTGAAAATTATGATATTAATTCTATTATATGTGATTCTTACATCATTCTAATCATATAATTATGATTTAGGAGACCCTGTGGAGTTCTGCTAATGCTTATTACGATTAGTTAAAGAGCTATGTTCATTACAGTGCTTATATCATGATTACTTAGTACTACTCTATTGTATCAGGTTATTGTGCATAATATTGTACATGCAGTCCTCGGCCGTTATTAAGCAGCTTTGGAGCATGTGATGGTGACTGTACAAGGGTATCCAACCAGAGCCGTGTCTGATCACTGTCGGTCAATGCTATATACTAGATCAGCTGGAGCCTGGCGAGTATATATGATTACTTTCACTGTGTTGGGTTGCCTCGAAGACTTTATGCATTCAATCTATATTGTCGCAACCACCAATACCGTCCGTTAGTTAAAGGTGTGGTCCGAAGACCAACGACACCGCTGTCAGTGCAACCCCTCCCCAATTTCGATATCCGTCGCTTGGCGATTGTGCCCTTCACCGCATTGAGCAGGATTAGGATCTTGGGGTCTCTTGGATGCGTGCTGTGCTGTTAACTAGTACCAGAATTATCCTACGTTTACGAGACCTTGGCGGTTGATTGTCAATCTTCTTTTTAAGAGGACCCGATTACCTGACCTGTAATGGGCCCAGCATCCTATCTCCGCATACCCAGTGGGCCTCGAGGATGTCTTTGACATGTTGATATGCCTCTGTCGTGCTGTCAGCCCCCATCATTGGTTGGCAATACACCTTACGATTGACCATGAATACACACTCGAAGCAGTCGCCATCCTGCTATTCTTCCTTCCACGCGTCGAGTGCACCGTCGACATCCTCAAACGATTCTGCAATCAGATCTGGGAATCAATCCGTCCATAGATGCGGACCGTCGATCACGCAGATAGTCGGTTTTGATTGTTTGTGAGGCTAAGAAGTGAGCGGGAGCCGGATACTATAAGAAAATTAGGAGTGTTTCCCGGGACAAACCCAATGAATCCGGGAGGAATCCTGGATCCAGTTCGTTTTGTTGAAAGCATTCCTTGCCGGTTTTAATATGGAGAGTATACTGAGTTTTTTTTAAGCATGCGATAAGATGTCTGAGGGCCACATTTAAATAGACTGTACTGGTTTATGGATTCATTGTTTTTTTTTAGCTCTAAGGTAACTTGTTCGTTTCCACGGACAACGAAGTCACCCGTCTTCTGACCGTCCGGCCACTCGGGTCCGAGAATCAAGCCCCAATTTATGCTGGGTTGCGGGCAGGCAAAATAGCCCGACTGCATATAGTTTGGCTGGTCCCCGGCCGGTCGCCGTTGAATGTGCCACAAGGATCGGCGATATTATACTCAGCCCCTGGCCTGCCCATGCCTAAAACCATGGCTTCAATGTTATCTTCAACTATGGGCTTGCGTTGTGTGGAATGTTTTGCGCAGGACTGGCTCGTAGTGTCATCTTACATTTGAATCAACAGGACAGCCAACCTTCATAAAGCGTCATTTATATCCTAGGCTGGAGCCTCTCGTTTTCGAGGTACACGTGGACTCTACCGAAATCTCATTCCTCCCGGCGTTACTCATATCCTCAGCGAACAATGAAAGCCCACCTGCCACGACTGAACGAGCTCCGGAAAATACTGTCTCCTAGGAGAAGAGAAGCCACGTTCAGGTATCAGGCCAGATGTCTTATACCCCATGGAATTGTCTCCACCAGACAACAGGAGACCGAACTTCCAGGCTGCCTCGGACGAGAGTATATTAACCAACCACAACAGCAAAGGTGAGACACCTGGGGCATGGGAGATCGACAGCGCAGTCACAATCGAGCTTCCTGAGCATCTCAATGGCATGGCTGGTAAGAGGGCTCTCATGTCGGAGCTTTGCGAGTATGTCCCGTTCTATAATGTCCCGAACGTGGTTGTCATTCACCCTCCGAACGGTGCTGATCTCTATCTTCAAGTCTTGAAACCAGAGTCCGGTGAGCTTATCTCCGTTGCACTACCGAGCGATGTCCTACCGAATCCAAAGTTCATATGCAACATAGTAGCTTCCTATCGTTTTCAATCATCTGCATTATACACCTCTCGTCGACCCATCCTGCAAATAATTAACACGCTGGAAACCCCTTCGCCACCCTTTGAAAAAACCGGTGTCATTCTTGATTCAACTGTCTCTGTCTAGTCTTGTTCATACCCGACAATTCGTCGAACTCCGCGCCAATTTCTTACGGGAATGTTCACATTGCCAGATTGATACAATTACTGGATCTCTCAACTCAATACTACGCGGAAGATGAATTAGGCGAATCTTGTTCGTCACTAAAGCAGATGCTATTCCTCCTCTCACAGAACTGCTCCTACCGGAATTAAGGCACTTCTTCAGACTCTACTTCTATCAATCGATAAAAAAACCATGACAGTATCCTTGGTACAGGCAACTGGCTGTTATAAGGCTCTTGAGGCTTTCCCCCTCAAAACATGTCGACTCACCGAGAGTCCTCATCCAGCGACTTTGGGTTATCAGATAATGATGACGAGCAACTGATTCGCAACATCGGCTATGGATATGCGTCTGGCTTCTTGTACTCTACTGGGAAGCAGCTAACGACACATACCCCTGCACAGAACGTTGGGCAAGAAAATAAAAGAGGCATGGGCGGCAATCAACCTCGGATGGTAAAGAGCATGAACGTGAGAGTCAATCCTCTTACTGATAAAAGAAGAGACATGGGAACACAGCCAGACCTCCCAGAATGGCAACGGAATAAAAGGAGCGTGAGGCGCAGAAAGATTATTTGTGCTATTCGAACAGTTGCATGTCCCCCCATCATATCTTTTCGATAACCTCTAACGACTCCATAAATTCCCAATTACCTTCCTTGATCACATTGCACAGTTTCGTTGATTATTCCTTACTTATCCCGACCAGTTGTACCAGGTCGATTTCAGCTTGGGGAGATATTGTGGGATCTATGCAGCACGCCTTTGTCATAGATCTTCGAATAATAATCCCAATTTTGTGTTAATTTAAACATTAGAAAGCTTTCTTATCTCTCTTCCAAGTATGAAAACTCATACTGCTCATATTTACACTTTGTCTTGACATTACAGTTTCTACTTATTCCAGACTCTGTGCACACCTGTATTCAATCTGGCATACGTTGACACATATTGACGTTGAACATGTACATCCTAAACATGGTCTTAGAAAGAATTCAATTGCCCATGAAATTCAAGTTCTTACGAAGTATCCATGTCTAAATGAATTTATGCACAAGCAGATGGTGATTGTTGCTATTATTTGCGTTTATGCCGATCTTTCTACTATATGAATCTTGTTCTGTTTATCGCCCAGAGCCGAAACCACCATGCTGTGTGTCTTGGGAACGCTACGTCCCGGTGTGCCAGGCTCAAGCTGTAGGTCACAGCTATAATCCGGCTCGCCTCTAGTCGACTGCTGAAGTGGGGGAAGTCCTCGTTGAGCCTCATAAATTCTCTCTTGGAAGGTTTAGTACCATTAGAATTAGCCAGAAAAGACACTGGAGTTTGGTCGGTAGCACATATTTAATATATTACTATCAAGAGTACTGGGCTGGCCTCCATGAGGCAAGTAAGGCTATTTGCTCTCGGATAATATCTACATGTATTCACATAGACAATATTGGTATTTTCTCTAAGTAGAAACTTAGATAGAAATACTACACAATACTAGGGGGTGATTATCAACAGAGCTAATAAGTTATACTCGTATTCTTTGATCAAAGCTTTGCCATCTTCTTTCTGCGAGTCATTTCTATAGAAAGTACGTTGGTCTACTGGGATATACAGGCCATCAGTGAGGCAAATGCCGCTGATCAAGAACCAAGTCATTAGATATATATTAATTAAGATTTTACGAATATATTTCAGCTCAGAAAAAGTAATTTTTGAATGCCACGGGTCACTGGCGTCCATAATAGCTCAAAGGTAGGGAAGGAGAAATCTGTGTTTTCCTGGGCTTGTCGGTTAGTCGGTACTGATAGTCGGATGCCTATCGTGCTCGAAAATTTGATTATTGGACAAGTGCCGCCAAGAGCTCATCCCACAAAAGCTGCAAGGAAGCCAAATAACATCGGTCGAGATAGAAGTACGGCATGAGGCGGGCACGGAGCTCCTTCCACGACGTGATCGCGTGCAGTCGCACCACCCGCGCGAGGGTCTGGACAAAGAACGTGCGTTCGCGGGCCAGAGCAACATTGCAACTACAGGCGCCCATGACCAAAATCCACACCAGAAGATCCGGATAGGCGGAAAATGCTCCCGTGGCCAGAACTCCTTCCAGGGCTGTGCGCAAGGCGATGATGGGCTGTGGGAAGACGCCAGCATTGGCGGGGTAGAACGCCCAAATGCTGCTGTTGTGGAAGAGGAGGCAAGCGAGCCGTATGCATCCTTCGATCGATGCATCTTCTTTAACAGTTCCGGTCTGGCTATAACGGTCGCTGAGGAGCATGTATTCAATATACAAGACCTCCCCGTTGAAATAATCTTCAGTCTGTTCGTCGTAGTTCTGGTAATCAGCGGCCCGGATCGCCTCGGCGTACCAGGTGAGCTGCACCAGATCAAAGATGATCTCGGAGAGTTGCGGCCCAATTAACGCATCAGGCAATTGTGGCTGTTGTAGTAAAGGCGACGCGAGAAGGGCGAGTTGAGTAGTGGGTGGCAAGATAGGATATCCTTGAGGGCGAGTATTGCGGACCGGGGGAAATATGGGTTTGGTATAGGCCATGCATGCGACGCGTATATCTGTCCTAGAAACAGCGGATTAATCTTTGCTCTGGGAGTGAAAGGGCTACTGCATCAAGGAGCATACGTACCATGAAATCTGATATCGTACGGGATATGGAACGTCTACGAAACTTTTGCGCAGTGCGACCATTTGTCGTAGCCCGGCTAGATGCATCTTCAGATAGGCGGGGGTACCCGTAGCAATCTGAAGAGAGTGAGACTTGATTTCTTCTAGGAGGGCAAAAGCGGAAGGCACAGAAGGGGATGAAAAGAGATTTCGTACCTCAATCGTCAGCAGCATGGATACAGACGCAATCAAACCATCACTGGCTGCCCTGAGAGGGTCCGAGAGACCACTATTGACCAGCCGGATTGTTTCTCCCCGGTGATGAAAGGTGTCGAGCAGCAGAGGACTTAATCGTCTGTTGCTGGATTGCTTGAGGGGCAGTTCACTGGTTCGTAAGGCTACATCCGAGGAAGCAACACAGATACAGGCATGAAGACAGGCCTCATTGTTTTGGATCAATTCACCCCAATGTCTTTTGATCGTGTCGAGCCGGCGGTTCTGGAACGGGACGCCGTCTTGGGAAAGGTCAACTAAGACTAGACTGGACGATCAGTATTCGCCATTCAAGATACAGAAAACAGAGAACAATGCTGCAACTTAACTCACAATGCTGTAGATGCCGCATCATGCGATCGGTAAGAGGAGTATGAGAGGTATTGAACGGATCTATGGCCGATTGTAGCCCCATGCTCCGGGGAATGGGGGACGACACCGAACAAATTACTACATCTTCCTGGCCTTGGCGGTCAGTTGAGTGCTCTCGCATACATGCTTGAGCTGCATGAAGCTCAGCCTTGGGCCGGACCTGGACCTGGGCAGATTCGTGATCGGTCTCCGGGGGGTGGAAAGCTACACGTCTCCCTGATCGACATTTATGTGATTCAGTGCTAGTTATTCTTTTTTTCCGATTATGCTCTGACATGACATGAGAGCGGATACGTTTCAGGTCCTCGGGCTTGGTGCCATTGGAAATAGATTTTGGACTTGTATGGACCCAGAAAAGAGCTGGCCGACCTGCAACAGCGCTGGTTGCCTTGTGTGGTCCGGGTGTTCTCTCAGTGTCGGGTTTGACCACTGCGGCCGCCGACCGAGACAAAGTCGGCCATTGCTTAGATACTGTGATCGGCTCTGTATCATCCCTGCGAAGAGGAGGGATAGGAGCTGTGCTGTTGGTGCTGCTGCTCGAAATATTATAAGGGCCCGGCCCTTGGGGGTCTGATGAAGTTCTCAACGCATCAGTCCGGGTCGTCCCAGGAGGAAACAGATTCATATGGTCAAATGGATTCATCCCGACATCGAGATCCTGTGAAGATCCATGCCATTAATCCTTTCAGCAAAAGTGGCATCGAGTAATCCCCAAATCGAGAAGCTCGATGGGGAGAAGGAAAAGGGGGCAGAGCGGGGCCTAAAAATCTCATATATAAACAAACAAATGATCAAACCAGCTTGATTAGGCCAGGAATAATTACAGCACCACAAAAAAGTAAAAAAAGAAAAAAAAAAAAAAAAAAAAAAAAAGAGGAGCCTGATGCAAAAGCCAACGCCACCGAAAAAATGAATAGGCCTTCGAAAGGAGAGGGGGGGTTGTTGGCGAGCCAATGGGGAAAGCAAACCCGAGGCGTTGGACGAAAAAGGGAAGCAATGAGATTATAAAGCGGTGCACTGGCCCTCCATCGTCAAGGCCAAGCTCTGGTGCAAGACCCACTACAAATCGGAGATCGAGAAATGCGCCTGTTAGGTGTGGAGCGAGAGAGAGCACGCATAACGGCAGCTTGCCCGGTATCACACCTAAACGCGCTATCCTCGGTGTGCTCCGTTCTGGGTAGTACTGGGTGGTTTAGCGGAATTCTGTGAGTCGCTACTGGTCAAACTAACTTCAGTGGGTCATGCAAAGCGACGTGATGTCTGTGCGCACAGAAGCTCCCAGAGCCTTGATTGACTGTTGCCTAGAAAAAAAAACAAGCTATGATACATAGTACCTAAGAATCCATAGGCTTAGTTAATTTCACGAGTTGTCCGTTCCACCGGTCCCAAGCTTCTTCGGGAAGGGGCCATGAAAATAACGAAAAACTCAGCACGCGGCTTTTATAGTTAAATCCATCTTGGCTCGCTTGGGTTTCGGGACATGCAAGGGCGCAGCATTCTTCCAGGCCTCGTGCCCGTATACGGACTTACCCTACTAGGAAGTTGACCGACTTCCAATCGCGGCCGTATAATGGCTTATACAAACGTTCGGACAATCGTGACTCGCTTCGCAAAATACTACTCGGGATCGTAGAAGTGATGCGATACCATCATCAAAAACAGGTAGTGCAATCTGTTGATATCCCATCGATCGCCCATTGTATATTGCCCAAGCGATCATTGCCCAAGAGCCGACGGATCTCATCTATGACTCTAATGCCAAATGTTCCCATCCACCACTGTGACCGTAAGTGATATAGAACCACGCAATAGTGGGCCATGATTGTCAATGCCATAGGCTGATGGTCCAGAACCAAATCTACAAATACTGCTGGAACCTCCAGCAGCCAGGAGAGTCCAATCAGCCCGGGGCGGCTGCCCCACGCAATATAACGTAGACAGGAGGCCAATCGATCGATGGCTTTGATGTAAATCTCTCGGACTTTGGGGTCGTTGTTCCCCGTGCTATCCTCATTATTAAGCTTTCGCAGAGCATGAATGGCCAGGGTGGAGGTGTTTGGCATGTTGGGACCGCTCCCCTGGCGGACTAGGAAAGCCAGCTCCTCGCTTGGTTGGAGTTCATCGATCAGGCGGATGAGAATCTCCGGCGAGCCGCGTAGGTGGCTGACAGTTTGACAAAGATCTACCAACGCGGATCCGCTTGAGCATAAGGGCGTTCGTACGTGCGCGAAGGAGATGATGATAAGCATATTGCATATAGCAAGCAATGACATGCTTTCTTTGCGAGACAGTTCCGATTTCGCCTGGTTGATCTGTTGTTCAAGCCCGGCGCGAGCTTGATCCCAATGAAGAATAGCTAGACACTGGAATTGCTGGTGATCGTGTTGATTTTCCTGTATGCTGTCCCTTTCGCGAGAATAGACAATATCCAATGCTGCCAGAGCTAGGATGCTATCCAGTAGTGGTGCATTGCCCATTGCCTCCCGGACGATTGTGCTTCTCCAGATTTGGCCGTTTTTACCATCCGGGGTGAGAGATTGGTAAGTTCTGGCACACCAGCGAGATAAGAGGGTCAAATCGCTCGGCTTCAGAGAACGGATCTTAGGCTCCTCACTATGCTGATCAGCGTGGCCAATGACCGGCTTTGCGGGTGATGACCCCGGTCGCCAGAACTCCGAGTTCCAAGTATCCGGCTGTGAGGCAGGCAAGGAAAAGATGGAGGGTTGTGGATGCACAATATGATCGGCTTGGGCGGGAACCAGAGAAGATTGGGATGTTGGGTTATGCCGGATGTTCTGTTCACAACGTCGTTCCATTTGTTAGAAAACGGCAACCAACAAAAGGAGGAGAGTAATAGCGTACCAGCCGTTCGCTAGTATGAAATAACTGGTGTGCATTGATGAGTACCTTCTTGTTTCCCAGCAGGTCTAACATGCTGCCCCGAGATGAAATCGAACCAGAATGAAGTTGTAGTATAAGACCATGAAGAGTAGAACAATGATGACAGTGCTGACGAGACACGAGATGAATATAAAAGGCTGAAGGTAGGTATTCATTCACTTGTAGGTCGATAATGTGTCTGAATGTCAGATGACGATGATTCCCCGGCTAACTCAAAGCAGTAAATGTAGAAGCAGGACCTAGATAATTTATTCTTTATCTATCAGGCCACTTATTATATAACCATTGATGAAGGTGTGGTGGGAACCGACCTATTGAAAACCGTCACAACCGCGAAATACGCTTCCATACAATACCGGTCGTTGTGGGGACCTTCCTTTCCCGGCTTACTTGGATTATCCTCCATAGTCCAAAGCCCTCGGCCGAAACCATTCGGCATGACCATATGCATGAATAAAATTGCAGCCATCTTGCTATTTCCTCCAGAGAAGTCCGCGCTTTCTCGACGACAAGATGTCGAACTACACAGAGATTATCCCTCCTGCGTATTTCCTACCCGGCGTTTGTCTCACAGTGGCTAGCCTCCTGTTATTGAGCTTGGTCCAGAATGCAATCCACAATCTCCCATACTACCGCATTCCTACTGTTGGGACATGTCGATGGCCTTTACTGGACCGGCAATCTAGTCTACGCTTTATGTCCTCGGCCAGGGCTCTAATTCGTGAAGGCTTTGAACAGGTATGGCCTTCTACGGAATATGAGAGCTGTAGACTGATATGGTGGGATACGACCTGGTTAGGGCTACACAATATTCCAGGCCATTTTCCCCCACGGGCCGATGTTGATACTTCATCCAAAGTATGTGAATGAAGTTAGAAGGCATCCTTCTCTCAGTCTAGAGGAAGCAGTCAAGAAGGTAGTTTGTCCAGCAAATAGGTCCCCGAGAAACCTCTGACGCCAGATGCTAGTCGCTCCCGGTTGGGGATTATCCAGGCTTTGAGGCTTTTCGGGGCACAGAGAACCATCATATTTTGTTGGATGTGATCAACCAGAAGATAACCCGGAATCTGAGTATAAGACACCTAAAGTCCCTTTCCATGGCCACAGCTAAATTGCTTTATAGAACAATACACAATTCCTCTGGCCAAAGAAACAGCTTTAACCCTGGAAGAGCATTTTGGCCAACCCACAGGTTGGTAACCCCTCCACACCATGCAGTAGTCGCCCAGACTGACAAGCTAACATTTGACCCTTGTAGAATGGAAATCCTATTGTTTTGCTAGCGAAGTTCCCTACATCGTCGCGCGTCTATCGACTCTTGTCTTCCTAGGAGAGGAAGTGTGCCGCAACGCGGAATGGCTTGATATATCAGTAAACTATACCCTGGATATCTTCGGAGCAATAAACGCACTAAGGAAATGGCCACCTATTCTACGACCTGTCATTCACTGGTTTCTGGCGCCTGCTAGGAAGCTAAGGCAGCGTGTACAAGTAGCACGGCGGATCATCCAGCAGGAAATGGAGAGGCGGCAAGAGGAGCCCAAGGCCAGGGAGCCGGATGCGCTGGACTGGCTTCACGAAGTCGCAGCCGGTCGCCCCTTGGATGTAACTACAGCGCAGATAGGTTTGACACTGGTGACAATCCACACCACATCTAACCTCCTTACCAATGTCATTTACGACCTGGCAGCGAACCCGGAGTATATCCCGTTTCTGCGTGAGGAAATCCAATCGGTATTGGAGGCCGACGGTACCTTTCACAAAACCAGTTTGACAAAGTTGAAGCTTCTGGATAGCGTGGTAAAAGAAAGTCAAAGATTGAATCCTCCGGGCCTGAGTGCGTAATCCCTGGCTTGGCACATTGCTCGTTACAAGTCTCGACCCTGTCGCGCTCAGTAATATTGAAACTAACTATTACTATTTTTTTTGATTATTCAGCTTCACTGCACCGATATGCCATGGAGGAGATCACCCTCTCGGACGGAATTGTAATTCCAAAGGGTGCAAGTCTCGTTGTTTCCGCCCATACTATGCAAGATGAGAGCATTTATCCGAATCCGCATACTTACGACGGGTACCGGTTTTATCGAAAGCGGCAAGAGCCAGGTCAGGGAAATAAACACCAGTTGGTGATGACAAGTGCAGAGCATTATGGTTTTGGACATGGTATACGCGCCTGTCCAGGTCGGTTCTTCGCAGCTAATGAGATCAAAATTCTTCTCGCACACATTATCATGAAATACGACCTCCGCTTCCCCGATGGACAATCGCGCCCTGCCAATTGGGAGATTGGACAGGACCTGATTTGTGATCAAACTGCGCAAGTCTTATTCAGGGCACGGTAGCCCGTATTTCGTTCCTTCTTTCTCTTAACTTTGCTCATTTCTGACCTGTTCATGTTTGTTCTTCTTTCTTTTCTCTTTCAGGAACTCGCAACTCAGTGTATTTTACAACTAAATCAGAAAGCAAAGTTAGCCTGATGTAGCCGGTGAAATTATTGGAAAACTCTTCAGGGCTAAAGGCGCGAAGCGAGTCAATCGTGCTCCATGAAAGTTTAAGGGCCTATATACTGAATTACTAAAGCAACATCTTTCCGTGCAGCGAGCTAAGAAAGGAACTGTTGATAAAGGAACTACGGCTCAGGATGGCCTTCAGTCGCTATTCTAAAATTTTAATAGATGCGGGCGGCTACTCTACAGGGAAAGAAGAACTGTTAACCTTTCCTGTATACCTTTTTTAAATTTCATCGCATTATGAAGCCGTGATAGTTGCGCCAAGGCAGGTGATCATCTATGCCTTTAACATCGCAAACACTATGTGGCTCTGATATCCCTCTTTTCCGTCTTGTTGTGTGCTAATAGAGTACTAGAAGTCCAGACTATTTGGCACCATAATTCAAAAACCATTTGTTTATCTGCCTAGTTTGTTCAAGAGGTCACCCCTTTGTGTATTGCCCCTGGCCATCCTCCTCCTTGTCCCTGGTATCTTGATCGCCATTGTCATTAGGAATCATAATTGAGTCTTCTTCTCTTTGGATGCTGGATTTGACTCCGTTGAGGCCAATTCCGCTGACGATTAAAAGTCGCATGATAGTAATGGGTGCAGAGGTCCAGAACATAAAATGGTCTTCCATGGACCAGGTACAGATGTTAAGCCAGATAGCCCAGCCTCCAACAGCCTGTGCTACTGAATGGCACCAGGCCAGGTCACTGAGTAGCATGGCAGCGCAAAGAAAGCGCCACAGATGCTCATCATCAAAGGCACGCAGAACAACTGCCTCCACGAATGCAAAATACAGCCACGCACCGCCCAGCTCTGTGTGTAGAAATTCCATTTCTGGTAAAAAGGACACCTCACCACGGGTCATACTGCTCATATAGACAGCTGGATAGAGCAGCGACTGCAGGGCACCACAGAGGGCTATCATAGGCTCTATTGTTGTAAGAACCAGGCGGTAGAGGTAGGGTATGGATGTTGGACCAGGAACGAGCAATGGAAGCCACATCGCGAAGAATGAACGAGTTGAATGGAATCTTGAAGGTAGCCGAGGAAGGAAGAGGTTTGGTGATATGAGATCTGGGAACGAAAGGAGGGAAGTTGGGGTGGAGGGGTGCACTAATCTCCAGTAACAGCGAGGAGATGCGAGATTTCACCCGTACCTGGTGCTGATGAAGCCTACAACTCTTCTTTAGTTGCGTTTTGCTCGTTTCCCGGCTCATCCTCGGGCTGGTAATTTACCGAAGGATCGGTATACTACGTAGGACGTCCGAAGCTGTTCCTGCGGGATTAAAGTCCAATTAAAATTCGGGAATGTGGCCTTCGTGAGATTTATTATCTCCTCCATTCCTTCATTACATACAGTACGCAACAATACGATACGATACTGGTGCGGAGACACATATTCTGAGAGACCGACGCCACGCTACCTACCAACTACTAACTTAGCAAGGCTAAGCTTTGGATGACGCGCGGGTTCGGTTTGAGCCGGATCCGCAATCAACCGATCCAAGGTTTCGTTCTCCGATACCCCAGCCAATGGAGTGCCACTGCCTCGGCCAGAACCATCAAAATGAATTTGGAAAGATAGTTGCCCTAAAGAGGATCAAGTCCCCCCCCCACCCCTCTTCCTCATGCACATTTGTTTTGCAAAGCGCGGTGGTTCATTCATTTGTTTTCGGCTAACTTCGATCCAATGACTGCGAGCTGGAGCGGGCCACTCTTCGCAAGGAGATTGTACGAGAAATAATACGAGTCCACGAGACTCAGGAAAAGTGGTCATTGTGGATTTGACTGGTGTGCCAATCTATGAGATACCAATCATGGCCTAAAGATAGGGGGATTAGTCCGACCACCTTGCTACGCCCACTTCCTTCCATGAAATACCTCCTCCACCCGCCGGAAGAAAACAAAAAGAGACTTAGGGAGTCGTTCAGTTCTGATAGGTGATAAATAGCCCAACAAGAACTTTATATGGCCCATTGGCCTTTCATGAAAACCTTCGTTCCCCATGAGCACAATCATTTACTGTTTGTCTTTGGCGTGAAGCAAATATTCTTATCGAGATTAAATCGGCCTCCTTGGTTGACTTCGGATGCTATGCCGCTCGTAAACTCAGTCATCTGTGTGGCCTTGATTACTGGCATAGTAGTTATTTTGACTCGTTGTGCCTTCAAGCCTCAGGACAACAAAGCGCCGGTAACCAGAGGTCAAAACATTTCCCCTCCTGAGCTTCCTTTGTCTGTTGCCCAGATCATACATTCCTTTTTCACAGCACCGTTCGACTTCATATCAGAAGGTTTTAAGGTAACCGGTTCTAATACCTTTCGATTTCGACTACGGAATAATGAAGTCATTGCGGTATCGGGTGATGAGGCAAGACGGACGTTCTTTGGGGCCAAAGATTTGAATCTCTATGCAGGTTTTCAGGTACTAATTGGTACTGTACGTAACTCTACTTCGCATCTGACACAATCAAACTTTACAATACTATCATCATCACTGACCTCTTTTTCTCTGTCTGTAGATACCTGCCGGTCTCAATCCTCAGGCCCTTCATGGTATATACAAGCGATTAAATGGTCTTCAGCGACCCGACAACCTCCAAAGCTGTATGTTATGATTTCTTAAGGACTTTGGATAATATTATATATCATCATGTCTGACCAGCTTATTTCGCTGCAGTACTTCCGCAATTGATCGAGGACTGTCATCAAAAGATGCATTCATGGGACGAACTCGTAATAGATCCATGCGCCACTTTACATGATGTACATTTACTACACGCGAATCTGTCTATTCCCTCCATTAATCCCTCTTTTAGGTTACTTTCCAGATGATCATCCGTGCCGTTACTTGCCATGATGTTGCGGAAGATACGAAGCTTGTATCCCGCTTGAAATACCTTTATGATATTATTGATGCATCAGTCAAGCCCTTGCGCTCCTTTGCTTGGGTACCTGGTCTTGCAACTTTCAACAAGATGTGCGCATCTATGTATGTCTATTGGACGTTCAAGCAAGCTGTCCAGAAACGGGTCAACAGTGGCGTGCGAAGAAACGACACTCTTCAGCAGCTCCTTGACTCTGGGGAAAGTTCCCAATGTATTGTCGGGGTAAGTAATCGATAATGTCTTAATAGCTAGGTAATGGTGGCTGATCACTTGTGATAGTTTATGATGGGACTGCCTATCGCTGGGGCGCGATCCACAGGAACAATTGGTAAGCTATAGCCTTGGCATCCTTCCTACGATCCGTCGCCTGCGACACATCGATCACCTTAACAGATAGTAACGAGCTAAATCTTTCTCCGAATTACAGGCACATGGCTTCTCCTATACCTCGCCTCTGAACCAACTTGGTTCAGAGCCGTACGCAACGAGATTAAAAGCTTGGCTACAATGTACGGAGTAACAACCTCGTCGGAGGAAGATATAATGGGGATGTTATCGGCCATCCCTCTTGCCGGTTGGGAGTCCAAAACCCCGCAGCTGGATCTCTGTATTCGTGAAACACTCCGGAGAGCTCAGCCACATACGGCGGTACGGCGCAACATTGGGCCTGACCTGCCAATTGGCGCTTATACAATCCCATCCAATGCCTTCGTCCTATATCCGTTCTCTGATGCGGCGCTGAACCCCACCCTTTATCCAGACCCATTACGCTGGGATCCCGGCCGCACAGTTGTCGACAAGGACGCATTCATCGGGTGGGGGGGCGGCACACACTTATGCAAAGGCCAGCGTCTGGCCAATTTGACCTTGAAGATCATAGTGGCCTACACTTTGATGAATTATGACATCGATCTGGTCAACAATAATGGCGACGTAGTCACTGGCCCCCCCGTTCCAGACTGGAATGACTACTTAACATGTCGGCCTACAGGCGATTGCACGCTTTGTTTTACAAAGTGCAGACAGCCAACCTATAAGTTATAATCGTTATACCATTATATTTGTTGATAGCATAATATGCTGCAGATCCCGAACATCTGGCAAAGCCTCAGTCTGAATACATCTAGGTTGACTAAGCTAACTCTATGTTACGTTAACTAGTTAACTACTTATAACCCGTAGCGTTCCTGAAAATATATATTATTATGACTGAGGTTTCGTTATGCCAGATATCTATGATTTCTCATCTCTCGAATAGGTTTATATATTTAGAGGGATAAATTGTTATTACTTATATATGGCTAGGAAATATGTATGGCCAAGTAACTTAGTAATTCGTGATTGTGATCTATTATTTAATAAACCGTATGTTTTGGCTTGTGGGAAAAAAACATCTTTCTATCCAAGTGGTATACTTCGCTCACGACTGAACAACGAACGGGCTAGCCGAACAAGTAATTGACATCCGCAGGATTCACAGCAAGGGTCCGTAATCTGCAAGATTGCCAGGACTGTTATATAAGTTCAAATACCTAGACCATGGTGCTGCTATCCTTTCATAGGGTTTGGCAGCCACCAGTTCCCCGTGAAGAGCTGTTCAGCAACAAAAAGACGATGTCCACATGTATTGAGCACTCCCTATCCTCTGCTGGACAAGTACAGTTGCCACAGGTATAGTCCCTCCATGACATAGAAAGGTTTCCACGCAGCTGGCAAGGCAGATTATCCAGGAATATTATGGCGGGTTTGGTATGTCAACCCGCGGGTTACCCGCCAAGAACCCGTTTGAGCATAACATTCCCAATTTAGCCATGCCAAGATACACAAAATTGCCGAGTCATCTAGATCTGTTCTTGTTTTCTTACCCTGTATTGGTATTAGCATTTAACAGTAGTAGTACTTTGTCCTCACATCATTGTATGATTGAGGCATCTACTGGAGTGGATGTAGTCATGTGCCTGGGACTCAGGTCACCCACAAACGACCTCTGACTTTGTTTTGCTAGAGTACCTAGATAAGCTACGGATTCAACTTACTCTTTTGCTGCAATTCGCGTTCGTTCGCTTGTTTTCTTTTGTTGTTTCGTTGCTTTGCTAGTGATTTCGCGCCTTAACAAGTTATAATGTTATATTCATAAGAAAAATTTCAGGTCTACCCTGCGATCATGTTACAGCAACTCTACAAGTCAACTGGTCACCACGCGATCTTCGCAACAGGTCCCCGCGGAAACATGCGCACCAACACCTTCCGCAACTCATCCATGACCAGGACGCCAACCGCCAGACCCAATGGAATGAACCAATATTCCAACGGAATGGAAGCAGTATTGAAAAGTGACTGCAGACCAGGCACCTCCGTCACAAAAATAGCAATCACCAAGGACACGAGCATAGCCAGAGGCAGCCATGGATTCCGGCGTTTTGCGCGAATGGGATCGGCCTGCAGGAGGGACATGCGCTTGCTCCGGACTGAGAGGATATTGCCCCATTGCATGATGACCAACGTGACGAAATACACGCTCTGTCCAACATAGTTAAAGTGCGTTAGCTCGGCCTCTGTGTAGCCGTAGAAGCCGTCGGAGTATTTCTCGAATGCGAATACCAGGGCGTGGAAAGGGATGCCGGCTTTTTTGTACATGTACAGGAAGAACATGATATGGGCACAAAAGGCTTCCATAACTCCGACGAATAGGTAGGATTGTCCGTAGATACGGAGGTTAATGAGGTGGTCGGTTTTGTGGTTGCGAGGCGGAAGGCTGAGCAGGTCGAACTCTTCCTTCTCCATGATGAGCGACAGCGACAGGAACAGATCTGTGAACACACAGATGATGATCATCAGGAAGGAGCTTAGCGGCAACGGCACGCCGAAGAAGACGTTCATGATCACTGGCCAAATCTCAGACCAACTGCCTGCCGGAAGCAGATAAGCGATGACCTTCTGGAGGTTCTGGAAGACCAGCCGGCCCAGGCGGATCGCCTCCACAATGGAATCAAACTTATCCAACAAAACTAGGTCCGCCGCTTCGATGGCAACATCACTGCCTGAGACAATGGCAATTCCAACATCAGCTGCACGCAAGGCGGGAGCATCATTGACACCGTCGCCTGTCACGGCCACCACACTGTCTCGAGACTTAAGCTCCTCGACGATGCGCAACTTTTGCTCCGGAGTGGTACGGGCAAAGACAATCTCCTCGTACTGGCAGATTGAGTTCCACTGGTCTTCGTTAAGAGTCGAAATTTGCGACCCTTCCACTAGCAGACTACGTCTCGATCTTTTCTCATCCTTCTCATCTGGCGCTGCGACTGAGGATGACGCCAGGTCCGCGACGGTATCCGGCTCAGCAGTTCCGGTAAAAATCCCAATGTCTCGTGCAATCGCCGCAGCAGTCAGGCCAAAATCACCGGTCACCATGAAGAAGCGAATGCCAGCGCGGCGACAGGCCGCCACGGTTTCAGGAATCTCCGGACGGGGAGGATCGATGATACCAAAGATGCCGATGATTGTCAAGTCTTGCACGCCATTGGCTAGCAGCTCATCGTTGAACTGGTTCGTACCCAGCGCAGCAGTCGGCGCATATTCCCGCTGGCAAAGAACAATGACTCGCTGGGCGCGGCGGGAGAGCTTTTGTTGGAATGCAGTAAACATGTCCTTCGCAGCAGCATCCAGAGGCTTGGCCACACCGTCTTTGGACCAGTACGAAGTACACTTGGGCAGAAGAACATCTGGGGCTCCTTTGACATAGATGAGGCTGTGGGTCGAGGAGGACGGATTTTGGTGGACAGTAAGCATCCACTTGTTTTTCGAGTTGAAGGGTATTTGATGGGTGCGTTGGTAATTATGAAGGTCGGTCTGTCCATCTGCTCTGAGCATCTCAGCCAAACGTAAAACGGCCGCGTCGGTCGCATTGCCATTTACGACGCGTTCAGGAATTGGCAAGGCCAATGTTTCTTGGTCAAAGAAGGCATCGTTGCAGAGCTTGGAGCCTCGCAGGAGGGGCTCAAGAGGTTCTGGAAGGGGAATTGACTTCTGCTGTGCGGTCACCAGATCCTCGACAAAGAATTCCTGGTCCACGAGGCCCACCGACTGCACAAACATCTTATTCTGGGTCAATGTCCCGGTTTTGTCTGAGCAGATCACGTTAACGCAGCCAAGGGTTTCCACTGTCGCCAGTCCCTTGGGCAGGATGTTGTTTGCTTTCATCCTCTTTGCGACGATCATTAAGGTGAGGGCAACGCCGACCGGCATACCCTCGGGAATAAAGGCGACCACGCAGCCCATAACATCGTTCAACATCTCAACAACGCTCATGAATTGTGGGTGGTCAACGCGCAGCCAGCCCACCCAGCTGAAAAGGATGGCCGCCGCTAGGATGACGGTCAGCACCACAATGATCCGTACGAAGCGCGTGATCTCCTTCTGGATGAGCGTTGGCTTCTCCTTCACGTCTGCTGTAATGGACGCCAAGCGACCCATGACGGAGCGACTCCCAGTCAGGACAACAACACCAACAGCATTGCCATTGGTGACACCGGTGCCCATAAAGGCGATATTGCGGGTCTCAAGGAAGTTTTGGTCGGTTGCGTCGGTGGCACCCTCGACTTCATCGGACTCTCCCGTCAGAATGGACCGATCGAATCGAACATCTCCCGAGCTTTTGATGATGCGCATGTCAGCCGGCACCTTGTTGCCAATGGAGATATGAACGACATCTCCCGCAACAAGGTCAGTAGCTGGCAGCTTAATCAAGTTGCCTTCGCGGAGAACAAGAGCCTCCGCAGGCAGGAGGCCCAGGATCGATTTCATCACGCGCGATGTCGACCAATCCTGGAAGGCGGAGAAAGATGCTTGCAGGATGATGACGATGATGACTAGGATGGCCATGGCCAGGTTTGTCACTGAGGGAGGATTGCTGAGCGGTTTCCAGCAGATGAAGAAGATAATCACGCCGATCCAGAGGACCGAGCAGAAGCCACCAAAAACATAGCCAAGGATCTTCTTCACATAATTCTCCCCATGGTGTGCGATGATGTTCTTCCCGTCGCGTTGAAGACGAGTAGCTGCCGCGTCAGTACTCAAACCACGGCCTGCGTCGACATTGAACTGCTGGCACAGCCGGTCTATAGCAAGTACATGGAAGTCCAGACTTTCGAAATAGTCCTGATCTGGTTTTTTCTCTTCCTTTCCTCGCTCTTTCAGCACATGTTCTGGGGCTGCCTGGGATTCGGAGATTTGAAACGAAAGGGTACGGAACTCGATTGGGATTCCAGCTGCCGTTGGGGACTGGGGAATACTGCGAGTGCTGCGAATGGTATCTCGACTGCGGGAACGTTTGTCGCCAGGGGAGTATATAGACCGAGTGCCGTCATGTACATTGGGACCGTCGAAGGTGATTCGCTGGGATCGGGCAGTGCTTCGCACCTGGTCATTGGGGGTCTCTTTATCGGCTTCCAGGTCCAGAGTGGATGAAGAATCGTCTGGCTGGTCCGCAGACACAGCAGCAGTGGGAGTAGTCATGATGATGCAGAACAAAAATGAGACAGATCACTCTCGGATGACAGTCTCGATAATGTGCAGTGATGCACTGGGTATAGTTCGATTGTACGATGCGAATGACAGATATGGATTGGCTGGTGATGAAGGGGTTGTTGCTGAAAATTCAACAGCATCCTCCTGGGAAGCCCCTCCATCTATTTATCTGCTTCCAGGCCGTCATAGTGAACTCGAACCAGTCCCGAAAAGTCATGGTAGGGTGGGATGGCAGTCCCTATATCGTGGAGGGAAGCGAGAAAAAATGAAAAAATGTGTCACGGCGTCTGGGGATGGACAGGCGGACGGTTTCAGCTGCCATGAAGGGCAAAGAGGATTTTGCGGACCCCCAAAGCCATACGAGAGATTAACAGTGTCCTGCTGCTAGTGCAGGGAAGCGGCTGTCAGGAACTGGCTCTGGGAAATCCCTCACTGGCCCTGTGGATCCTGGTTGCCTTACCATGGATTGCTCCGGTCAAGCAAAGCTGGCAGACATACTACTGTAGCAGGTACTCTCTGCCAACATGGGCTGGGGCAGTCCAGTAAATTTGTGATCATTCTTCCTTACAAAACAAGTCACGTCTTCTTCGCACAGGCCAAATTCCATGACCAAACCTGGTCCTCAGAGCCGTCTGTGCGGTTTACAAATAATCTCGCACGTGGAGAATAGGTGAGACCGTACTAGATAGCATTGTTGGGTCATTGCTTTGTATCAGCGCTGGGATGAGATCCCTATTGCCGATAGACTCTGTTTCATTTGTCGCCGATTGGCTTGTTCCCGGAAATAAGCATCTCCACGTGGGGGCTGGCCTGGCAAGTTGTAGAACTAGACGTCCACCCTTCCAATCACGGTCCCTGTGCCAGAATGATGTCTGATATCGTGTTTGATTTTTGTGCATCAACATTTAGTAGCAATTGTATCCGTAATTCGATTTGGCTGCTTCCCACATAACTGAGCAATTGTAGCAAGTGTCATAGGAAGCACCCCGTGTTGCCTTCGCACAAATGTCAGATTTGCCATCCTGCCAATATACATTGGTTCATCCTCACTTCGCTTGGTGCTGACACCATCACTGCGGGATTTTCGTGGTCCAAAGAAGTGCAGTTCCGTTTATCTCTGGTCTGTAACCTCGTGGGAGAGGGCAAGCCGTGTTCGCGACCGACCGACGGGTGGGAACCAAATGAATCGCTCTGAATAATCCCGCATACTTGGGACCACGCGGGAGTGCCCACCAAGCCGGCACCACCTCAAGCTCGACTCGAGTCGACTCGCCTCTGTTCCGTGGCAACAGCAAAATTTTGCTGTTTCTTTGTGTGTGACAAGCGGACTTTCTTTCTCCGGACTATGATAAGTCTGTCGCCCATTACCGGGGGTTGTTCTCAATGAAAATTTCCCCCAGGGGCTTTCTATGTGCGTGATTTTGTAGGGCTCGAAAATTTTCGATGTGCTTGCTCTTGGCTTGTCTCCTAAGGGAGGCATGCGTCTTCACTTTCGTGTCGTTTACCTTTACGTCTCGCGACTGTTGTCCCTCGGGCTTAGAACTCTTACTCCACTGGGATTCATGTTATGATCGAATCTTTTGTCTGTAGCACTGTCTCTTTGAGTGAGGGTGGCGGTAGTATGCTATCAATGGTTCTAGCTTTGTTGCGCTCTTCGTCAGTCCAGTCTGGACTGTGATAGCCCGTCCAAGATAATGATACGCCGAGGTATCTATACTCCAAGAATGCAAGTGTCTGTGGATTGTTCACCGCGCTGTTCCTCGTCCCCTCCTGAAGCTATGCATCCTAACTTCTAATCCAATTTCCAAGGGGTTCTGTCCTTTACAAAGGTAATCTTTCTGGCCAACCAACACCCGAACGTAACACCGACCACCTCGCCCTGAATGTCCCGTTGAAATACAACAGTCCAGTTCCCCGGTGCTGGCGCATCTAGGCCTCGTGCGCATACGAGAAACCAGATGTCGTCTCCCAGGTATCGCATGAGCTCAGCAGGCCCGTGGCCGAGAAATCCCTTGAACGATCCGTACAGCATACCACCGGCTCCGCTGCATAGAAACGTGGAGTCAATTTCCGCACAGTGGTATCGGCCGACATAGTCGCCCTTGGGCGGCTGTTGACCAGCAATAATCCGTTTAGCCTGGATGTGACGGTTGTCGTAATTACGGTGGAGTATGAGGATGTCGGAACACAGCGTGGCAGTTGCCAGGTCCGACCGTGCCTCAAATTCCTCAGTGAGCTTCAGTGTCTCATCATCGCCCGTATACGTAACGATGACTTCTCCTGGTCCCCCAAGCCGAACTTCAACCACCAATTGTGCCTCCGGGTCAAAGTAAACTCCCGCCCAGTTTAGGGCCGGCATGGAAAGCAGCCCATGCTGTGCAGGGAGACCAAGAGCTTGCTGAAGGATATGCCCAGCTACCTCTGCGGCATCTATTTCGTGATTCAGCATAGCCACAACGGCAAATCGCTCTGTTGGTACTTGGGTCCGGTGCAGGCGATATCCACGAATGGCCCCGCCATGGCCGATTGTCGCAGTCTGTCCAAACTTTATATGTTCCAAGCCATATCCATACCCAGCTGGTGTACCATCATCGAATAGCGGCTCTTTCGCGATCTCTCGATACACACTCTCCCGATCGGCCCATGCTTTGTCCAGATAGCATTCGTACGCGATCATATCCTCCAGGCTGGCCACGACGCCGGCGTCACCGGACCATTGAGTTTGGTTGACGGCCGGTATATAGCCAAAAGATTCGTTGCCTTCGTACCCCACACATGGCGGGGGCAACTTAGCGTTGTCTGTGCAGAGGGTTGCGGTTTTCATCCCAGCGGGCAAAAAGAGTCGTTCCGAGAGCAGTGCTCCAAGAGACGTTCCACTAACGTGCTCGACAATGCGAGCAAGGATATGGAAGTTGAAGTTACAGTAGGAGAATTGTGTGCCTGGTTGGAAATGGAGGGACTTGGTCCGGTCCAGCGCTTTCTTGGCGTCATCCGCGAGAGTGAATTGCCCTTCCGGTTGTGTGCCCCAGAACATCGACATGGCCCAATAGTCTCGAATTCCCGATTGGTTGTTGCAGAGGTGGTCGATTCGGAGACCGTTGTTGTCGATGAGCTCGGGGGAGACCAATTGGCGAAAAGCATCCGACAGTTGCTGAGGTATATCGCCTCGCTCCACCATGGCTGGTGTGGGGTTACGCTCCAGATCCTTGAGGATCAAACACATCATCTGCTTCGTAATCGAGCATATTGGCATCAGTGTTGAAGCAGTCATGGGGATCCGTTTCCGCAAATCCGCATATCCCCAGGTATACTTTCCGGCCAGTTCGCCATCTTTGATGATGGCGACTGCTCCACCAGGACCTCGATAACGCGAAGGGATTGTTTCAAGTATAGCTTGCATGTTTGGGGACGTGACTGAAGTCCAGGTTCAGTATTGAATGTACAATGCAGTGGTAAGAAGAGCTTACTTGTAAAGGTTATGGTAAATCACACCACGCAGCTTGGAATCCGCAAAGCAGTAACCATACAGGTAGTTATTGAGATCAAGTGCCTGCTTCTTAAAAGATGGACCAGAAGGGAATCGGGCACCCGTTTGGGAAGCGCCCGGCTCTGGCCGCACCGCGCCCTTACCCAAACCGGCATAGCTATGCGGTTAGTAGTCGTCTACTTGTCGATAAGAGAATCTTAGAGTGCAATTATGGCCAATCTTGGGAGGCAATTGAAATTCGTAAATACTCAATAATAAGCTAGCATGGAAAGGTTATCGTGTATTCTAGAAGGCTGTAGCCGAAGAGCCTTGTCAAACCCATTCACTGTCTGGGGAGAACGCACCATTGATCTACGACCGTTTGAAGATAGTTAACATAATCGCCGCTGAAGGATGAAGGATGCGTACTGAAATCAGAAACAATTTTAATAGCAGCCAGGATGATGAAACAGCGACATCCACCTCACCATCGTACTCGTGGTTCCACTGGGGCTCTGAGACATGAATAAACCACCAACAGCAGAACATCCCACCATGCCTGTGTTGCCAGAAACATCAGTGCCCAGCTGGGCTGCTTCGAGCCGGTGAGCAGATATTTGTACCCCATCCAAACCCCTATATGAGCCCCCGCTAGAACCAACTTCCCCACGGTGGATGCCCCGATGACGACTTTTCGTTGCATTCTTGGCCCGCCGGCTCCATCATATAGGATGAACAGTAAATATCCGACCCAGAAGCCGAGCGAAATAGTGAGGCATAGGGATGCGAAATATGGGAGTAACGAAGGCGGCTCTGCAGGGGACTTGATGAAGTTGTTTAGACATTTTCATATCAATGGGGCGACAAACATACCAGCTCTGGGGGAGGTACATAGCTTCGGTAAGCCCAGACGGTGGAGATGATCGCCGTTGTCATGAATGTGAGCCCACTCAAGGTTTGGATGACGGGAGCCGCTGGAATGATGAGGGAAGTCCGTCGACGAGCAGAATGGCGTCTGACATGCGGAGTGGCATCATGCTGAGTTGCAGAGGCATAAGATGGTAAAAGGGGCTCCGTTGACATGGCTGCTATCCGGACCGTTGGCCCGTCCGCATCTAGTAAACAGAGCGGACGCTTGAGGAGCCGTGGATTCTCAGGAAGAGTGGGGGAGACCAAGTGGAGGTGCCCACCAGCTGGCGATCACATCACATGATGGGCCGGTGTTTGCTGTGTTTGCTGAACGCCAGCCATTGTATCTACACCAAGCATTAGTGAATTCGAGTACTACTTACATAACTACTAGTACTCTGTACACAGTGAGGTATATACCTCCTTACTCCCGGGCATGGTTGACTTCGTTCAACCACCATCCCAATTCCACTCCTAACCTGCCCTCCTGATCATACATGACAAGATGACCGGCTCCTTCGATCAGCACGACTTCTCTGGCATTCAACTTTGCTCTCAGTCTCTCTGCCGTCTCCACCGGGATCCATTGGTCTTCTGTCCCCCAGATAATTCTGACTGGCATCACCTGGCCCACTTCGGAGTATCTCCCCTCGACTGCCTCTGTACTGCGACTGTTGGCTTGCGCCATTTGCCTAATAAAGCCTTTCCGGCCTTCCTCGTTAATGATCCACGGGCGCTTCAACATGTCCATCGTTTCCTTGCTCAACTCTGTATATGCTGCATTCCGGATATATGCCTCGACCATTCCTTCGAACATCGGGCCGGTCAAACTGGTAAAGGCCTCTTCATTTTCCGCCACTGATTTGAACAAAGGTTGCCCGAATGGGCCCAAAGCAACCACATTGATCAAACACAAACTGGCAAATGCGCAAGAATGGATAAGGTGCGCCCGTAAACTCATTAGTCCCCCGTGGTCGTGGGCGACGACATGTGCTTTATTATACGCCCGAGGCCAGTCTTTTGACCAAGATTGGTGAAGAGCAGCAAACACCTCCGACTGCTGGGCGAGGTCTCCATCTAGGGCGACTTCTTTACTGATCAGTGCCTCTTTTCCTAGGAGAGGGATCCCCAGTGGACTCTCGCCAAACCCCGGGTTGTCAAAGAGATAGATATGGAAATATCTAGCCAGGGAACGAGCAAAGACATGCCAAACTCGCGAAGACCATGGGGTGCCATGCACGAAGATCAAAGGTGGCAGGGAAGCATCACCTAATGAAGTCCAGCGCACAGCGTATTCGTGAGTAGTGGTATGGTAGTGAAATGTTTGAGTAAGTGGGATGTCAGCGATAACTGAGCGGTCCATAATGCTACAATATAGACTCCGACGCTGTAGATGGTGGTTGAGATGATCTCCTCGAATTCAGTCCCCCACCTATGGAGATGCCAACCCCGCTTCGACGCAATGCGACCGAGTGAGCTTAGCTCCATTTGTCATCCTTATCTTTCCCCCATCCCCACATCTTCTAAGAGTCATCGCATTTCCCAAAACCATCCCTTTTTCAATTTGATTTCCTGGCCTGGGACTTTGTTGTCGCTATTTACGATGTCAACATCAATTGAAAGCGACCGCGCCGCCTACCTTCTCGACGCGCAAAACAAAGCGGTGCAACTATTCGAGGAAATCGAACGAGACCTGATTCGGCCGGGCGTGAGTGAAAAGACACTCAGCACGGAAATCCACGAACTGGGAGCTAAACGCCATGGAGTCCGTACTCACTGGCATAAGCGAGTCGTCCGCAGCGGACCAAACACCCTGAGTCCCTTTGCGGAGAACCCGCCCGATCGCATCATTCAACCAGACGACATCCTGGTGGTGGACCTCGGCCCGGTCTTCGAAGAATGGGAAGCAGACTTCGGGCGTACATATGTTCTTGGGGATGACCCGGCGAAGCTGAAACTACGCGATGCGCTGGATCCCATATGGCACACGGTCAAGCGACGGTTTCGAGAGAACCCAGATATGACGGCGGAGAAATTGTACGCCATCGCCTGCCAGGAGGTTCAACAAGCGGGATGGGATTTCGGTGCTCCCATCGCAGGTCACCTGGTGGGTTCTTTTCCGCATGAGAGAATTCCGAATGATAAAATCAGTTTGTATATCGCGCAAGGGAATGGGGATAAGATGATGGTTCTGGGGCGTGATGGGCACATGCGGCATTGGATTCTGGAGATCCACATCCACGATCGGGCCCGTGGATTCGGGGGGTTCTGCGAGCAGTTATTGACGGTGGATTGATGCGATGTGCTGGATGCGCTTATCATGCGGAGAAAACGTCAGCAGACAGATCATGGATGCCTTGGAGGGCAAATGCCGTGATTATGGGGTCTTTCACACCATTAAACAAGAATTAGAGGATATAGGAACCAGGGTATAGAAGATTAGAGATATCAGGACTTCTGATCGCATTTATACATTCCCTCTTATCTAAATTGCACTGTTACTAATGATGGTAATTGTATTCAATCAACATCCCTTCCCTCTCATGGACTGAAAAGGGTAGTGATATATTTTTCTTGGGTTGTGTATCACGATCGATCGACCGGCAACTCTTCATTCTATATACCATGTAACTATCTATCATTCACACAATTGAATACTATGTTCGCTGACAGACTTCCCAAGATAATATTTCACATGCAACTCCAGGAAATGTGAGCGGAATCCACAACCCCAATTGCCAAGATGTCTAGACATCCACCAAGTGCCAAGAGTGGATAGAATTCCGCCTGGCACCCAATCTCCGCCACCGATGCTCCCCAGTCCCCAGTCCTGCCCAGAATCATATGCGCTCGGCTTTGGTAATAGTACCTGGACAGCTGTGAAGATGCCCTATCTATTTATAATTACCTTTCTTGTCTTCCCTTTGGCCATTTTGGCATTGGCTAAGATTAATCAAGCAGACATTCTTGGCCAGATTATTGTTAGTAATGTGCACACCTTTCCTTTCCTGGGTTGGTTTAACCAGGTCTTGCTCATCCTTCACACTACCATGATTGCCTACGAGAAAAGGTGTCCACCTCGAATGTGTAAATTCGATTAGGAGTACAGTCCGTGCGGCGATGCATCGACTACACCTCAAAATTCGTACTCATTGTCCGTTACCCAAATCTGCATTTTGCGATTCTTCAGGCTTGGCAGAGTTTATTCTGTTGGGTCACCCAAAGTACAGCAGCCGAGTTCTGCGGAGCGGGATGTTGGCACAGTCTCGGCGCCAATGTCTGCCCCTCCTGTTAAACTTTCCGCCAACCCTACGGGGCAATAGATGAAGTCAGCTACGGGAAGCTGGGGACAGGGATGAGTCTGGGGCACCCAGATCCAGAGACTTACACGAGGCCGTTCCCAATATCTTAAATAGCCCCTTCCCCCGTGCGGAACGGTATCCCGCCGAGCTTTGCTATACACACTTGATCCGTGTAACCTGCTGAGTACTGCATACCTACCATCTCTAATGCCAGCCGAGAAGCAACATTCCACTTCCGACCGGGGCCCCGGGGCCATCTCAGGTCCATTGAGTGGACCAGCCCACGCTCTGACTTATGAGACTGTCATCAAGGAATTGGGTACAGCACTCGACGATGGCTTGTCTCCCGAAGAGGCGCGGCGTCGTCTGGACCAGTACGGTCCCAATAAGCTGGATGAAGGCGAAAGTGTTTCCATTGCAAAGATCCTCCTTCGCCAGGTGGCAAACGCCATGATGCTAGTTAAGCGGCCCACTCTCCATTTTGTGGCTTGAAATACGTCTGAGATTCCGATATCTGATCCAATTCTTTGCTGCAGGTGTTGATTCTGGCCATGGCGGTCAGTTTCGGGATTCAGTCGTGGATTGAGGGTGGAGTGATCTGTGCTGTCATTGTCCTCAACATCGTCGTCGGGTTCTTTCAAGAGTACGCCGCGGAAAAGACTATGGAATCGCTTCACTCACTCTCGTCGCCGACCGGTACAGTCTCACGAGGGGGACAGACCTTTTCGATTCCGTCGCAGGAGATTGTTCCGGGTGACATGGTTGAGTTGAGGACTGGAGATACTGTTCCCGCGGATATACGGTTGGTCCTCTTTCATTATCTGCAATAGCCTGGACTGCAACGATACTAATTCGTCTCTGAACAGCCTAGTTGAAGCCGTCAATTTCGAGACCGACGAGGCCCTCCTGACTGGTGAATCACTCCCTGTTCAGAAAGAATGTGATTCCACTTTCAAGGAAGATACAGGCCCGGGCGACCGTCTTAACATCGCGTACAGCTCGAGCACCGTTACCCGCGGCCGTGCTCGTGGTGTAGTCATTGGCACAGGAATGTCCACCGAGATTGGTTCCATCGCCCTCGCCTTGCGCAATAGCAACACCAAGCGTCGTCCCGTCAAGCGTGGCCCTGACGGAGAAACCAAGAAACGCTGGTATCTCGAGGCATGGACTCTCACGGGAACGGATGCCGTCGGTCGCTTCCTTGGCGTCAATATCGGGACGCCCTTGCAAAGGAAGCTATCTAAACTAGCCTGCTTACTGTTTGGCGTCGCGGTTATATTTGCCATTGTCTGCATGGCCGCAAACTATTTCAGCAGCAACAATGAAGTCATCATGTACGCGGTTGCGACCGGTATCAGTATGATTCCGGCGTGCTTGGTGGTTGTTCTCACCATCACCATGGCAGTCGGCACCAAGCGTATGGTGGAGCGGAATGTCATCGTTCGCAAACTCGACTCGCTGGAGGCCCTCGGTGCTGTTACTGATATCTGCTCGGATAAGACCGGTACGTTGACTCAGGGCAAGATGGTTGTCAAAAAGGCATGGATCCCATCTCGTGGAACATACTCTGTTGGCGCATCCAACGAGCCATTTAACCCTACCCTTGGCGAATTGCGCTTTGCGCCTGTCTCTCCTTTACAATTTGGTGAAGAGGATGAAGGTCTACCGGGAGCAAATATTGAAGACCTACTCTCAGACAACGATCAACTCCAGGACTTTCTCAATGTCGCCTCGATGGCCAACCTTTCTCACGTGTTTGAATCTGAAAATGGTGAATGGAACGCACGAGGCGAGCCCACGGAGATTGCCATTCAGGTATTCGCATCCAGGTTCAATTGGAACCGTGACCGTTGGACCAAAGGCCAAGGTGCGCTGTGGCATCAAAAGGCCGAGTTCCCATTTGACTCTACCGTGAAGAAAATGTCTGTGATTTTCAGCAAGGTCGGATCAAAGGACGACCAAGACAACGCCACCATGATCTTCACCAAAGGCGCCGTTGAGAGGATTGTTGATTCATGCACGTCCGTCATTTGGGATCAAGGCTCCTCAACACCCGTGCCTCTGACTGACGAACATCGCAACTCGATCTTCCAGAATATGGAGGAGCTGGCCAAGCTCGGACTGCGAGTACTAGCACTAGCTCAACGTCCATACACTGAACAGGCACGAGTCCTTGAAGGTTCTGACCTCGAACGTGATAGTATTGAGAAAGATTTGTGCTTTCTAGGTCTGATCGGGTTATACGACCCTCCGCGTCCTGAGACGGCAGGCTCAATCCAGGCCTGTTATCGGGCCGGTATTGTCGTCCACATGGTTACTGGCGATCATCCGGGTACTGCACGAGCAATCGCTCAGCAAGTGGGGATCCTTCCTTCTGATTTCAGCACCGTAGCTGCCGATGTTGCGGATGCGATGGTCATGACAGCAAGTCAGTTCGACAAACTTTCTGACGAAGAGATTGATGCGTTACCGACCCTTCCTTTGGTCATTGCGCGCTGCGCACCTCAGACCAAGGTGCGCATGATCAGCGCCCTCCATCGTCGCAATCGCTTCGCAGCCATGACCGGCGATGGTGTGAACGATTCGCCATCACTCAAGCATGCTGACGTGGGTATTGCAATGGGACAAGCGGGATCGGATGTCGCTAAAGACGCGTCGGATATCATTCTCACAGATGACAACTTTGCCTCCATACTCAATGCCGTTGAAGAAGGTCGCCGTATCTTTGACAACATCCAGAAGTTCGTGTTGCATTTGCTGGCTGAGAACATCGCTCAAGCCTGTACCCTTCTCATTGGACTGGCGTTCAAGGATGCCGATAATCAATCCGTCTTCCCCTTGGCTCCTGTTGAAATTCTCTGGATCATTATGATCACTTCAGGTATGCCCGATATGGGCCTGGGAATGGAGGTAGCCGCCCCTGATATTATGAACCGTCCTCCCCAAAGCAAACAAGGTATCTTCACGTGGGAGGTGAGTATCGACATTCTAGTTTATGGTATCTGGACTGCAGCACTGTGTCTGGCAGCCTTCTCTGTCCGCATGTGGGGATTCGGTGATGGTAACCTAGCCCGTGGGTGCAACCAGGAGTGGTCGGAGCAGATCCAAGATTGCGAGCTGGTGTTTAAAGCCCGTGCTACGACGTTCGTCTGTCTGACGTGGTTCGCGCTCTTCCTGGCGTGGGAGATGATCGATATGCGACGGTCGTTCTTCCGCATGCAGCCGGAATCTAAGAAGTACTTCACTCAGTGGATGTACGATGTTTGGCGGAACAAGTTTCTCTTCTGGTCTATCATGGCTGGGTGGATCACCATGTTTCCAATTCTTTACATTCCTCGACTGAACGATGTCGTGTTCAAGCACAAACCCATCACATGGGAATGGGGTATTGTGGGCGTCGAGGCGGTTCTTTTCTTCCTGGGTGTTGAGTCGTGGAAGTGGGCCAAAAGGGTCTTTTTCCGTCGCAGAGACCGTAAGAATTTACAGTTGGCTTCGATGGGAAACATGCCGGAGCAACCCTAACGAGTGCTCTCCCCGGCCAAAGATCACTTGGTCGGGGAGTGAACTGGAATTGCTCCTGGGAATATCCTATGGAGCTTACACGCTGCAGACTGCAGGGCGGTTATTACCTACGGTGGAGGAACGGGGTAAGTATAGAGGGTATAGCGAAAGGGGCCTTTGCACCCAGCAGATGGTATACCCTAAAACGCTAGTTAGGAAGCATGATGGCATTGGTAAGAGATTGGTTATAGTTGTCTTGGGGTGGGTATTCTAAAGCATCCAGAACGAATTTCGGGTCAATATTAGGATAGTTCTTTAGAATAGAAAAGTTGATATCTACAGTGATACAAAGTAAAGCATCCTGCGATAAGCGGGGAAGCCCGTGATAAGAGCGATCGGCTATCCCCGCATTCCATCCCTGCCGTAACACCAGCTTCATTATTCCCCTCCCAACTTCAACACTCTTCTCTCCTGCGAGCAAATGCTCTAGAGA